TTTTTTTTTTTTTTTTGATAAAACATCGAAAGTTAATCATGTAAACATTTTTTTTTTTTTCGTTTTCAAAAAAGTTTGTTAATGAAGTTAACCAAATTTGGTATGATTTATTTATTTATTTATTTTTATGTCATATTTAAAGGATTTTAAGTAATTACAAAATTTTTACTATTGTTGATTCTAAAGTTAAATGAATTTTATTATTCAAAAATCTGAGATGGTGGGAAATTTTGTGACCTTCTTAATTTCAAATTCTATATTAATATCATTTGATTAGTTTATAACCTATAAAAAAAAAATAAATAGATAACTTAATAGCTAATATCTGCCTTAGGAGATCCCAATAAAGCAAAACATTAGATATACTCGAATGAAGTTTTGTAAGATATCAAAATATCAATATTAGTTTAGTATTTACAATTATTAATGACTGTATATAGGATGGGCTTTCTCTAAAAAGAAATTCATTAATGCAGTTTCATCTTAAATAGTGAATGGTTTTAAATAAATTTGTTACAAAAATAACATGGCGCTTAGGGATTTCTAAAGCAACAATAGATGATTATGTATCTATAATCAAAAAGTTAAATAGAAAATTTGCGGTAATATGTCATGAAAGAACTATTAGAAATAATATACGATCTAGGCAAAAAATTGATCAGAGCCTTATCAAATATTAAAATATTTATAATCTTTGACGTCATGTTTTATACTCGATCATCGTACACTTACCAGAGTAATATAGGCTTAGGTGAAAAATCGTATAATAACATATTTGTATACGTATTTTAGACGGTTACGGTACATTTCGCCGAAACCCATTTCGCAGAAGCCATTTCACTGAAGGGATATTTCACTGAAGGGATATTTTCATATTTTACCGAAGGGACGTTTCGCCAAAATACCATTTCACCGAAACCACATTTCAAATTCCATTTCATTCAAGCCATTTATTGTTTTTATACTAAATACATGAAGAAATGTTTTCTAGAAAAACTTTTGAATTAGCTGATTTTTATTAAATTTATTTCGTTGTTATAATAATTAAAATGGTACCTAGATGGAAAGAAAGTTGTTTAATTAATATTATATACTAACTTTTCTAGATTAAATACGTAATCAGAGTAAAAAATTATTTTATTTCTTTGCCATCGAAACATACAATAAAACTAAAATGTAAAGAATTGATACATTAAAGTGTTTACTCCTTTCGGATGTACTCTCTTTTGCTTATTTCATTCTAATAGAATACAAAAAAAATTGTTATCACTAAAAGTTATTCCTTTTTATACCAAGCTTTTATCTCTGAAAAACAATTATTTTATAGAAAAAGTACATTTTCTTGTATTTTATTTTTCTTTGTCTCTCAATTTTTGCATTGATAGCTTAGAGGAGAATAGACTTTTTGGTTGACTTATGAAAGTTAAATATTTTGAGAATCTATAACAAAAAATAATTACTTATTAAACAACTAACCTTTTTGGAAATATCTTCAGATACTTTTTATAACATTAGATTCAGTATTATTTGCGCATGAAAGGCAGTTATTAATAACACTGTATGTCACGGCAGATAATATGTTGTTCTGTGAATGTTTTGGAGTCTCCTTGTCAGAATATTCCTCTTTATTATACAGATCATGTATTGACACAATATCTAAGCCACTAAAGTCTTATCCTAGGGTCTGATCCTTTTATCTGGGACTGGACTAGACCGGTCTTTGGACTGTTAAAACTTAAAAGCCTAATTTATTTTTGATCATTAATCATTAATACAGGTTGTAGCTAAAACTTAAATAATAAACAATAGCAATGAAATGATAATAAGATAAAATATCATTTTTTTTTGTACTTCAATTATTTAACATAAGCAGATACAATGATTTCTGTTGTATACTGTAAATGTAATGATACCTATCTAAAACTCTAAAATCTATTATTTTTATTGCCTATTTTCATTACCCGTCCCAGCCATAAACCCATAAATCACTAAGAGAAGACCTAATGAAGAAAAAACCTAGACAAAGAGAAGAAATACCTAAAAAAAAGATGAAAAAAAAGAAGATAAAGAAAGCCTTAAAAAAATCCTTATACATCCAGGTAAGAGTTTAATTGAGTAAAAATAGTTATCTCAATTTTAGTCAGAGTTAAATTTTCCGGCTAGAATTGAGTAAAAGTTTGTTAACTTTAGCTAAATGTTTATTACTCGCCTCGTAAATAATGAGTAAACGGTTTCAACCTAAAATATCAAGACTTATGTGTTAATTTACTTATTAATTTATAAATAATTTCTATTTTTCCACACATGAAAAAAAAAGAAAAATATTTTATGAATTTCTGATTTAAAAAAAATTTTTGTTTCGTAAATCTGGAAAAACTTGGCGTAAAAATTCCCACGACTGTTAGAATACAATAGTATGTTTCATTAGTATCGCTC